CAAGCCTCACCGAACGTCTCCTTGCTACCGCGACCTCGCCCACAGGAAGCCGCGACCGCGTGGCAGCAGGGAAAATGGCCACGGATCCGGTTCGTATGTCAAGGCGAGTTCGTAACCAGAGGTAAAATTTTCCTGCCAAAGCTGGTCGTAACCCGAAACGTTCGTTAGTAGAGGCGTTCGTATCCCGAGGTACCACTGTACTTAGCATATTATTGTAGGCATATTATTATTATACTTAAACTAAATAACTGGTTAATTTAAAAACTTGAGAGCTTAAACTTAAACCAATAATCCATTTTCCCTTTCTAAATATGCTTGAACATTTCTAATCTACAACTGAAGATTATTGATGCGGGCTCTGTCATTCTTGCAGAAGACAAGAAGATGTTAACGGATGAACAAGCTAGGGATTTTTATCAAAGCAAGTCAGAAGAGGTAATAAGCTCAAGAAGGTGGGGTGGTGAGGAGGCAGGAATCATAGTAACTGATAAGATAATAAAAGGCTTTCAGTATAGAGGGCAATACTGTTCACTGTAATTATTGAAAATTATTTATGATATAAATTGCATGTTAATATAGCTGTGAGAATTCAGCCATCTGGTATCATGCCTTTTAAGTAACCCAGGAATTAACACCATATGAAGGAACTTCTCTCAAAGGGTATCTTCCCAATAGTGACTTAGTGTGTCTTCTTCTAGAGTCATAAACTATCACTGTTCTGATATAACAGTCTTGAGGACAAGCTTTCTATCATTTCAACAATGGCTGGGTGATATTAGGAGACACTGTAAATCACTAATGGAGAAATGGCTTCAACAGCACAACTAGACTAAAGATGTTTTGGTTCCTGAGTCAGCAGTGAAAGCCTCACTAGATGCTTTTCAGGTTTCCCAACCAGCATTACCAAAAGCAGTTGTGTCAAATGAAGGAGATTAGGATAGTGACAGTTGGTGCCTGCAGGTACTCATGGCACCCCAAACAGTGACAAAGCATATTTATGTCCTTTACTTGCATGTCAGGGCTCTACGTGCCATTAATGTCTCCAACAACATAAAGTGAAACCCCGACAAATAATGTAACATTCGGAAGTCACCCCTTTCTCATATTAATGTAGCGTTACCACATCTACCCATTCCTTACCTCTATAATGACATGATCTTTCTTATTTCTAATATCTTGTCTCACTATAGTGATGAAAAAGACAAGGGTGTTCTTTGGGATACTCACCTACTCACCAATTTCTTGTGATTATTTTATCCATACTATAATAGGGTTTGCTTGGTCACATACCCTGTACCATACATTACAATTATTAATTGTTCATCATTAGCTAGGAATTTTAATTTTGGTTTGTTTGCTTTTTCTGTTGCTATATATGCTTCCATTTCCCTCTGTGCTCACATTTTTTGTTTGTTAATTTGTTTCAAATATCAGGTATTTGTCTCTGTGGCCTTTTGTTGTTTTTGATCCACAACCATAAAGTGGTGTTTAGACTGAGTGCTTCCAGAATTGTTGAAAAGAGAGTCACTGTGCTAATCACAAAATATCTAGAATTTTTAAGCAATCTTAAATATAGAGTACTCTTATTATAAACATTTCTTAGGTAACATCAGTTTATGTTCATACATACAGCCCTGTATATTCAAATCTACGTGTCCATCAATAGCCAGTTATATATTTTCAATACATGTGAAAGCCAGTATGATGTAGATGTTAAAGTATTGGACTAGTACCAGGGAGTGAGGCTCTTAGAGGAAAGTTGAAATATAAATCTAACAAATAACATGAACTAAGAATTCAGAAAGAACATTCAGATCTTAGAACTAGCAGACAACGCAAACATTATACAGTATAAGTAATCCATGTGCTAAAACATAAATACATTCTCTTTCCCTCCCCCCCACAAGCTCTTTCATCAATTGTGCCTTGCATCCTTCTTCCTCTCTAAAATTCCAGTGCTTGTGGCTGTTAGTCAATGTTAGATGTAAAGTACACATCCTGTGTGTTTATTTGGTAGGAAATATTAACTTCTTTTGTGGTTCTGTTGATTCTGAGACTTCTAAAGTAATTCTTACCCCTTAATTCTGATGAAGAGGTTTGTTGTCTTAATTATCCAAAGCCACAGGAAACCAACTAACACGAATAGCTTTGCATTCCTACTTATGGAGGAAGTAAGAAATCTTGAATTGCTGTTTTGGTGATTGGGCATTTTATAGTGAATATTTCAAGGGAGAATTTTAAGATTAGGAATTGGCTCAATATTGCTTTGTCCTATTCTTTTTTTGATATAGGATTATTTTTTCAGGCCATTCAGAAATGCTGTATGCTGTTATATTTCCATGCCACTGTCTTCCAAGAGAAAGGGAAAATCTTAAACAAAATCACAATAAAACCACAATGCTTAAAAGCAACAACACAAAAACTGAAAACAAAATTAACTTTCTTTAAAAGCCAAAAAGTTACAGTAACCACACTGCTATTCAGAAAATCAGTGGATGTAAGTACCACTCTTCTACCTCATCAGATGTTTATTCAGGATTTCAGTCAGAAAAAGTATTTCCTGTGAATTGTTACCTGGCCTGCTTAGGTGAACTTAAATCTGGAATTTTCTGAATGGAAAACATGTTCTACCACTGAATTATAATCCTTCTTGTCTATCTATTTAATTTGTGTAAATTTCCTTCAAAAGATAAAATACATATGCACAAACATTGCTGCATTCCAGCTATTTTAAACTAAATATACACTAAATTCCCTCTAAATGGCAGTCTGTCATGTTTAAGTACCTAGCATAATTGCTGAAACTAGCTAGAGACAGACCATTTACTATATCTGAATTTCTTAAAAAGAGGGAATTCTGAAAGTGTGGTTGTTTTTTTCCAATCTGCTATTCAGAGATACCACAAATCATTTTCTTATTTATTTGTTTAGCTTCCTTCTCAGACATATGGCTGTATATCTCAGTCCAAAAGAGAGAAATCCAACAGAATAAGATATTAGTATCTTGGGCTGAAGCAGCATTTAGCACTGTGAAGGCAACCTTTCCTAAACTCATACCACCCTCCACCCACCTCCAGAAAACAACAACCACTGAGAGTAGTTGCCATTGCGGAATTCAGCTCCTCCAGTTCAGGGGAGTCAGATTTTGGAAGGGCATGGTTATAAAACCTAAGAAGAGCCACACACATAAAAGCCAGAAGTAAACCATTTTTTTTTTTTTTTGGTTACAGGAGCTTAGTCAATCATATCAACTCAGAGCGTAGCACTCAATTTACACCCAAGTTATCAAAGGGCCTATTCCAGCTGTTAGACATTCAGATTCATAAGTCATACTTGAAATTTCTAGTCTCTTATGGAAAAATGGAGAGAGTGAACCAATTATTAGAACAATACTTGATATGCTATGTCTGTTATCAGCAGGACAATTGGACTCAATTGTTGCCTTTTGCATAATTTGCATAAAACAACTCAATAAATTCCTCCAGAAGCATGTCTCCCTTTAAGGCAATCTATGACTATCACCCACCATATCCTACTTTGTAGAACTCCAGCATCCACTGTTCCTCATGCCTCAGATCTTCTGCAGATCTGACAGGTTTCTCAGCTACTCTTAAAGAATAGAAGAGAATATATGTTGCTCAGGCCTTGGTGCTCTCTGAGCTTGGTTTTTTGCTTGCAGACATTTCATTACCCAACTAGGTAACATCATCAGTGCTATTTTTAAAAAATAGCTAGATTTGACAAAGTTTGCATACAAGTGAACGACAAATGCACACAGGCAAGAGGGTACCAAAATTGTGGTGGGGGATTTGATGTGACTTTCCACTAAGTTTTTTTCTTCTACCCATCTGTCTAAAAAGCTAGAGTTAACATTTATTGGCCTTTTTCCAGTTATCCAGCAAATTAATCCAATAGCCTTTTATTTACAATTGCCTGTTTCTATGAAGATTCATCTGGTCTTCCGTCAGACATTGCTGGCTCATGAGGAGTCCCATGCCTCTTCTATTCCAATACTGTTCCTCTTCCCATTCCCTGTACTGGTAGATGGGAAAGAAGAAAATGAAGTGGAATGTATTCCGCATTCTAAACACAGGAGGAGATATTTGTAATATCTTATTCACTGGAAGGCTGCCCCAAAACTGAGACATTGTGGGAGAGTGCAACAGATGTCCACACTCCATAGTTTGTATACCAGCTTCATCTGCAATTCCTATGGAAACCCCTGTCCCATAATCTGCTGTCATGATTACTAACAATGAGCTCCAAGATGAAGAGGACTCCATGCCCTCTACACCTACAGAGTCTCCAGATTGGTTGCCATGCAACAAGAATAGAGGAGGACAGAGTGAGCTCCATCTCACTCTGCACAGCAAGACTTGTCTGTTGATCTTGGGAAGCTGCCAAGTGAGGGTAGGAGAATGAACTTATAGCTGATTCTCAAAGTGATTTGCCTGAGCCTTCCTTGCATCCAAAAGAGGAGACTGAGCCTGATGAGAGAGGTGATATAGAGGAGATAAATTTAATGAAAGAATGCAAGAGCTGTTATGAGAAAGTAAATGACAACTCAGTCCTGGGAAAGGAGAGACTCAAAATAACCCTGCCTTGATTTTGTTTGGTATAAGAGGAAGAAGAGAAAAAGTCCGGCAAGCTTTTAAGATTCAAGAGTTATGCCCTACCACAATAAAATAGAATTCCAGTAGTCCTTGTGTTGACTCTTCCATGACCTGGCCTATCTCTGACACAGACAAACCTACTGCATAGTATGGTTGTAGCGGTAGAAAATGGGAGGAGAGGGGTACTATGTATGTCACATGAGCTCTTGAATGAAAGGTGGGATATAACTTAAAAAAAATCAAACAATTTGGGAAAAAGTGTTGACCTTAACACTTTTTAAATATGTAAAAAAAATCTTGCAACAGCTGTGTGCTGGAGAGAGGAAGTATCTATTCCTTTCCACTGGGGTCTGAAATTTAGAGAGCTTTGCCCACTGATTCTTCACCTCTCTTGCATGCAAAGGAAATAGCTGATATAGAGAAATGAAACAGTGTAGAACAAGGTTTAGGTAAGCTGGCATCATTATGTTGGAAGAGCAACATTTTATTATTGTAGTTTTCATAAACAGGTTTATTAGAAGATTGATAATAAATATAGTGACATTTTACATCTCATTAATAACAGGGTGAATGCAGTGAGGTCAGCATCTTTCTTGGTACTTAATGCAAAACATTTTTTCTCTAGCCTGATTTTGAAGACTTTGTTTCACATATGCTATCTGCACCCACCTATATTCTGATAGTATCTGAAAGAAAGCATGGCCAGGATACTATGCCTTTTTTACATGAATTGGAAGCAGTGAAAGAGGAAGGGGAGGAGGAAGAAGAAGAGGAGGAAGAGGAGGAGGAAGAAGAAGAAATGGAAGAACTTTTATCTGAAGCATGGAGAAAACACTCTGTGAGACCTGCAGCTGGGTATGTCATGTATGCTTATAAGTGAGTGTATATCAGAAAAAGATTTCTTTTGCCAGTCCATAATTCAGAATTAATATCAGACTGGATCCAGGCTTAGAATAGATCCATTTGAACCAAATGCATTTAAGTTAGTCTAATGTAAGTCCCATTAAGTTATCAAGATCCAACCTTTCTTTTCACTGAAGACAACTTCTGTTGAAATTAATGGGATTTATAGCTTTGAATATCTTGAATCTGATTTAAGTTAGCTAATGTTGCCTGGTTCCATTCAATTATTTGCATAATGGCTATAATTTGTACAGACTTTAAAGGTTAGGTTAATAATACAGTGGTACCTCAGTTCACGAACTTAATTCATTCCGTGACTCTGGTCGCGAACCGAATTGGTCGTGAACCGAATCAAATTTTCCCATAAGGT